TGGAAAGCTGCTAAGGTCACCAAGCCGATGTTGTCACTTGAATCAGAAGCGCTGCGTTGCTGCAGGCTGGGCTCCAAGCCCATCAGTCAGCATCTGTGAGAACACGCATCATTTGTAATGCCGTGGATTACGATAACTATTAGCCTGACGATATGGAAGATAATTGGTTTTAGTATGTGCATCATGGTAGAATGGAAAATTATCACTGAATTCAGTCAGATGAGAACATCATTATAAATTCAAATCATTTCACACGACTTAGTTGATTTTGTTACTTTTTATACCTCAGTCCTGAAGAAACAATGTTTCTTTTTAACTGTGTTATTTTTTATAGTCATAGTTTAGTTTTAGTTTAGGTTTTATACGTCAGTACTAAAAAAAAAATGTAATGTCTTTTCAATTGTGTTTTTTTATAGTTGGAGTGACTAATAAAAACTTGAACTTGAACTTAAAAGACAGAATTCACTGTCACACAATATATTGCAGTAATAGATTAGATATCTTGAATTGTTGAAATGTATAATAAGGATGGGTCGGGGACGTGTTCCCACCCTAAATATCGTAAATAGTTTATCTCTGTTGTCAATCATTTTGAAATTTGTAGGGAAAAAAAAGAACTGAAAGTGCCTCAGACTCACCTCTGCTGCTCGTGGTTTTTGTCCAAATTAGTGCTAAGAAAAATTTCAATCTTGCCTGTAATGTCACTTTCCATGTCTTCTGTCTCAGGTAGATACTCACAACTGAAGCTAATGGAGAGCTAACTTAAAGTGTGCCTTCTCTGAGGGTGAGAATATCCCGGCAGTACTGTAAGGGGAGGGGGAGGCCTCCTTGAAACATTGATAGTCTGGTGTAAATTCTATTAACGGCAAGGGGATATTGAGAAGAATGAAAAATCAATACCTTGTGGCCAGTAATGTTTGAAGGATCAGGCTGAGTGGAAATGTGAGATGGCATGGCCTTGCCCTGACGCAGAGACTTGCTTCTGTAAGTGGTTAATCAAGTGCTTGTCTGACATCTAGATTGCATTTTCCTCTCACCGTTCCTCCCATTTTTCTCCTTCACTGTAGAGAATATGTGCTATCAAATGTAAGAGATTGTAATCAGAGTATTATTAGCAGTCACCAATCTGATATAACTGCACTCTGTTTAAGGGATTGAAGATTGTCTTTTGTCTTAAGGTTCTCAATTTTCACAAATACATTCTGTCTCACTTCTGCACCAAATGCATCTACACTCGGGTGGCATATACATGAGCCATAGACGTGTTTGATTCTCAGACTGCACAATCTTCACGGAATGATTTGGGGGGGGGGGGTTCTGTGATGACTCAGTGAGTTAAAAATTTTGCATCTTTGCTGTGTTAAAGTGAACCCTACCATTTTGTTGAGATGTTAACCACAGAAAAGGAGACAGCACAATGATCCAATCACATTGTTCCCCCTGCCTACATAACAGGCCTTTAGCTGCAAAATTCCTTTACAGCCACAGTTTTAGACAGCTCATAAGAATTATGTCTTAATATCTGCACTCTAATGGCAAATAAATATGGTGCCCCATTAGTTTTGATGCCCCACTAGGACAGATTCTATCTTTAATCTGTATTACTAAAGGTCCATAACACTATAATACCATGCACTAAATGTGTCCTTAACAGCGCACCAGCACAGACAAGTGACAGAAAGGAGGCACTGCATAAGATCAGGGCTAAGCTAAGTTATGCTAATAATAGAGTGCTCCTTCATTTACATTTTACATTTTTTCCATATAATAGTGACAGGATAGTATGTATTTTCAAAAGAACTTGCCTATGACAAGTTGCATAGTGGCTACACATGAGTTTGACTTCAAGAGTCTAGTGTATTTAAATTTAAAATGGTTGCAGTCTTACTTAAATATCATTGTTTTGATGACATTTCAGCATATTTCATGTTTTCTTTTTGTTAGATTCAACTCTTATTTTGGGCAGCAAATTTGCATTTGTTGTATTAAATTACTTTGTTTAGTCCACAAAATGCAAACAAACTACACTGCAAACCATGGCCCCAAAATGTGTTGAATCAATATCTTTCACAGTAAGAAAATTGAAGGCAAATTAACATGAATTACTCAGGTATTGTTTTCAAATCCTGTATCTGTGAGCAAGAGCAACTGCCCCAGCCCCCAAGATCTGATGGAGGGGGCCAAAAAGGTTCATTGTGTGGCAATTGGTTTGTGGAAATATGAGTGACTGTAATTTTGTCTGGAATATGGGAAAAATGCATTACTAAACTACACCACCTTTGCTATATTACCTGATTTTGAGGCCCTGCCTTGAAAAGGAGATCTGTGTGAAAATCTGGTTTCACATTTTATGGAACATGTATGGCGCATAATTTAATTTGTGTCAAATTACCACAGCAAGCCTGGAACAATGAAAAAAGCAGTGGAATGGGGTGGGGTGGGGGGTGGGGGGGTGTATTAGGAGCTGCTCGGTTTTTCTCTGGTGCCCTCAAGCAGAGTAATATGGTCAACGCAAGTATCTCCAAATGAATCACTAGCTCTACACTTCATGCCTTCAGTCAGTTGTTAAGAAACAATGTGGGCGTATTACTGCCATCTCGTGGCCATCAGTCTACTAGTCGATTTTTTCCCAAAAGGAGGAGTCAGTCACCGAGCTTGTGCCATGCTGACTCATCCACAGCTACACAGACAATCATAGAGAGAGAGAGATTCCCATTCAGTGTCCTTCAAAAATGACCAACAAGTCCTTGAGTAGAACCGCTCAAGTAGACACATGTACATACAATATTAACTACAGTCTCGTATTTTCAGCCAAACGTAGTATTGTAGATGAACATTGTGGCCATCTTATTCTCAGGTCTGAGACTCACAGCACTAGAGAACTGACCCAATAAATCACTAAAATCAACCCCCCCGTACATCATCCTCAGAAACCTGTGTTGCTCCAGTGAGACAACAGTCTTAAAGAGCATTCCTGCCAGCAGGCTGCTCATTGTAGTGCTCATTATATTTCTGCAGTGTACTGTTCAGTAAAGTGCAACTTGGAAAGCTGTTTAGCTGATCAAGGGAGCAATCATCATTTAGAGATGTGAATTACATTTATTATTGTGGAAAGCTTGTCAAGGCGGCATCTTCGGCTAGAAGTATTAATGTAAATATCTGAAACCAAACCAAACTATTTTGTGAGGTATTCCAAAAGCCCACTTATACCTTGGACCTGTGTGGACCAAACATTTATACTGACATCCTTTACAAGGTTGGTGGATGTAAGCTCCCAAGGCTGCACTCCTACCACCGAGAAATGACAGAACGGGAAGTCTGATGAGAATCTGCTTGGACTCTTGCTCCAAATCTCGGCACCACCAAATAAGTGAATCAAAAGCAAGGCCGCCCTCTTATCACCACTTCCCCTGTCTGTTTGGTGGACTCTGGTATCTGATGAATCCTTATCGTGGCCATACAGTGCTGGTTCACATGTCATGTTATCACACAGGTCCCTTCCCCAGGCTTCCCACAGGAAGACTGTTCCCAGGGCACTACATTCGAAGTATCTCAACTGCCTTATGGTGAGGAAAAAATGCATTGTGGTCAAGAGAGGACTGTGAACATGGGCACGGTCTGTCCAGTGTTTCTATCATTATGAGGGTCTCATAGTTCTCCACCCAGGGTCATTTTAACATTTTTGGTTGAAAGTTTGTTCAATTTGTCCCAGTTTTAAAAAAAGTGCCAACTGTCATAAACTACTTACATTTATTCCACTTAAACTTTCACATAATTTTTGAACACAGCTTAGAAATAAAAACGAGATGTGGGGCAGAGGGCAATCTCATAATAACAGAGTAGGAATGGGACAGGATCTGCAAACAGCAATGGCAGATAACAAGCTCTCCCTCCTGGAGAATCTTTAGCTGGAAAAATGTGATTCATTTCTACAGTACCCCAGCTCAAAAGTGTAAATAGTCTGATAGAACGGATTGCTGGAGATCCTGTGGAAGTACTACGGCAGATCATTTCCACATTTTCTGGAGTTGTCCTTCTGTGGTCCCAATTTGGAGAAATATACATGGCATCCTAGAGGTAGTTTTTGGGTTGAAAATTCATTTTGATTTCAAAATATTGTATCTTTGTGATCTGGAGGGTCTTCAAGGTACAAAGAGAGACAGGTATCTGATGAGAGCGTTGTTGGTTGCAGGTAAAAAGGCTTTGACTAGAAAATGGCTTAAGAAGGATACACCAACTGTAAATGAATGGATTGACTTGGTGCATAATATCTATATATAATATAAAATATATAATATTGGTCAGAACAAACAAGGACAATCAATGAAGCAGATATTCTTTTGTATAAAGACATAACTTTTGTTAATTTAAGGATGTAACCTCCCCTGGTTCTGTTCTGTTTTGTTGTGTGTTTTGCCTGTTGGGCTGCCTCGTAAAAGTGTGTGTTTTAAATGTGAAGAAAACCAATAAAAAGTAAATTACAAAAAACTTTAACATCATTTTAATCAACACTGGCCCAGTTACCCTAAAACTGATCATGTCATATAACCAGATTACAAAAAGCAGCAGCATTATACAGTATATACAGTATGATTGGTGTCCTAGACATAATAAGCTTCATTCTCACAATAAAAATCTCACACTAAATCTAAAATCTAGTTTGTAATGTCATGTTTTGAGTATAAAACGAGTATTGATTTGAAGTGGCAAGATTTCAGTTTGAAATAGACTAGTAAGTAGTGCTGTAGGCATACTAGAATATGTTATTTATTGATTTTGTAGTTCATTGTTTGTTTTCGTGTTTGTGGTACATTAACATGCATTTTTTAAAATCTTAATTAAAACCACGAGAGGAGGAAGTACTGAGTCAGAGTAAGTGGGAGGTGGAGGGGGTGACAGGGGACACCAGGCGCGTATTTCATAATACCAGGCATGAGGACGCGCAGGGGACCTGCTGCTGTTGCTGCTGCTGCTGTTGCTGCTGCTGCTGTTGCTGCTGCTGCTGCTGCTGGTGCTGGTGCTGGTGCTGGTGCTGTGAAACGCAGCCGCTCCTTCGTTCCGTTTGGATTTGTGGCAGAGAGATGATTCTTCTTCTACACTTTTTTATCCATTACCTGACCCGCTAAAAGAGACATGTCCGCTCAAGGACTGCTAAGCAGCGTTTTCTCGTGCTCTCTAAGCCCCAAAACTATTTCCAAGCGGAGACTGAGGCAGACCAGGAGCTTGGACCCGGCGTTGATGCGACATTATGGTACCGAAGCTGAGGAGACGTCGTATAAGGTCAGTGACCTGGCGGCTTCATAAGGCAGGTGATGCTACCTGTTTTCACATTTGATAGCCTGTAATGCCAGACAGCACCCACAAACCCTTTTTTTCTCAGCGTAACCGGGCTGGACTGGCGTTGTTGGCGTTGAATGATATTGATGATGATGACTGAGATGACAGCTAAATAGCAATAAGAGTTTTAATGAACCGAGGGATGGCAAGTATCTTAAAACTTGGCACTGTGTTATTTTGAATTGCTGTTATATTTCCTCGCACTTCTTATAGCTCAGGAGCGAACAGGACCTGAGCGCACATCTCGTACAGACTTTCCAAATTCCGGAAGTGTCTGGAATGACCTTAAGGATGATGTAGCCAAGTAGCTACAGGACTGTCGATATTTTCCTTCGATCATTAATGAACACGTTTTGAAACTTGCTTGCTGCACATTTTTTACATTCAATAATTATTTAATTTTCTCAAATTGGAAAAAAAAATCTAAAGGAAACAGGTTTCTCCTACTATTGCAACATCACCAAGTGTATGACTAACAGGACACACACATTAACTTTATGTGTGGACCTTTGATGTACTAAAGTTTTGTTGCTGCGTCACTGGACACAAAAAAGTGATTCAACTCATTCCTTTATAGCTGAAATGATGTCAGCAGAAGCCTTTGCTTGTGCTAACTTGCTGATGACTGTTGACATAGGTTTAACCGGAAAACCTTGTGGTATTTGGTAAGTGTTTCTCACCCAAAAGAAAAAAAGGCTCCTTTTTTGAAATAGTAATACAAGCTTTAAGAGGGGGGGTTCTGGAAAAAAGTGTGTAAGTGGTTTGTGATGGTTGTTAAATAATTTCCCATGTTGTATTAAGATTGAAACTTGACAACAGCACAAACATGGAAAAGTTATCATGTATGTGCATTATGGATCTGTGCATAGTCCTTTACAGGACCATTTCTCCTAAGTAACTGCTTATGAGCCTGAAAACCCAAATTTTCACATATCTCCATTTAAAGTGAGGCTTTAACTTTTATTTTGTCATTTAAAAATGAAAAAATCTCCTTATGGTTGAGATTTATTCCTATATTATCTATGAGTATCCCCAAACATGAATGTATTGCCACACCACTTAAAGCAGTGCAAGCATTATTCTGAGGAAAAGCACTGCTATTCTAGTTATAGTAGCTAAACAAATTGCCTTTGTTATTACTGCATGTTCTGGCCTGTACACATGAAAAACGATTACTGTGTCCATGGTGTTCATCTTCCTGAGAAGGTTCCTCACTATATCATTTAATTAGCAGAAAAGAAGGGGAAAATGTTTTAACACATACTAAATTACAATGGCCATTTGCATGTCTTTTTTTGTTTGAGATAAATCTATTCTAGATTTATAGTGTTTAGCAGTGTCACATGTTCATAATTTGAGCCAATCTCTACTGCTGCACTTAAGATGGTCCCCATGGTAACACTGTTTGTTTAGTATAATGGAAATGTATTACAGATGTGACATTACAATAGGCTTGTAATGAATACCAGGTATCTGGTCTCTCTTTCAGTCATCAACAAGAACCCACATCCTACAGCCAGAGCACTTAGAAATGTAATCACAGTAAATCTGAATGAAGCTGATTAATATAGGAGACAGCTCTGTGTCACAGAGGATATTTAATGTGATTTATCACTTTAGGGAGTGCTTGCGTGCTGCCTGCACTGCTATGCTCAGCACTACAGCCTAGTTTTTGCCAAGCATTGTAAAGCTGAAAAAAATGTAACCACCCACAAGTTGAGCTGAAGTCTTTGGTGGGGGATCTTTCCTGGAGACTCACATGACCATGCTGTCGGCTTACACTGACAGTAAGTAAATGCCTTATTCTATGCAAACCTCACTCCTGCTGCACATACACCCAATAGCAGCCCTAGCTCTACAAGAATCACCTTTCATGAGATGCACAATATGTCATGCAACTCATGCCATCCAGGCCTCTTGAAATGCATACTAGGTGCCAGAGCTAGCCAACGGTGAGTTAATAATGGGTATAATCAGTGAAAATGTAGCATTGCAATGTGTTTAGTCATGCTAAGTGTATGTGTATGATGTATATGATTCCTATAATCAGGAAGTGGTAACTCACTGTAGCATGATACTGGCAAGAAAACACACCCTTTCCCCTTGTTTGAAAAGGAATGTCAGAGTCGTATTTTTGATCTATGTTATAAATGACCTTGTGTTTTCCATAGGCTGAATGTCACTGTGCTCTATTAGAGGTGTACTCACCCAGGGTCCCAGTAGTCTGAGCTGAGATGAAAAGCAGAGACATCTGGTTTACATGAAGAAAGCCTCAACTCTTATTTCTCACAGTACAGCAGCATGACCTGATCCTTGGCTACAGTCCCTCAGGCACATATTTCTTCCCACAGGAGACTGTCCGTTTGTATGGCATGGAGCTAAACCTGCTGGCTTGCAACTGCAGCACCACAGCATCCAGTTTGTGTCTGATTCGAGTAAACAGACACAGTGGGTTAGATATAAACACAGATGTAAAATCATTGTCTCACATGGAATGGTTCAAATCTACCTTTCAAGTACCTTTGTATCATTACATAACTGACATACAGTATATGATCTGCTTAGTGTAAGACCAATGGTATTCCCAGCCTCAATAGCTGGATACTTACACTGACTAACCAAATTCAGTTCTCAGTCTCTGTGAAAATACAGTATGTGTCTCTAGAAAGAAAACTGGTGACATAATGTGGTGTAAAATGAGTTAAACTGAATCTAAATCAGATGATGGAAGAAAGGTATATGAACAGATTGGAGCTTGGTTATTATTTAGATAAAGTGTCTATCTTTACTCTTCCCCAGTTCTCCTCTGTATGTATCACACTCAGAAGTGCAGCAAGATATTTGATCTGCATGGATCTCCTGTGCGCACTGCAAGTCAGTTACTGTTTAATATGACTGGTGGATCATTACGTGCCTAGCATTGGTTAAGGTCATGCCTCATATTAATTTAAGCTGATTTTGCCTTTCATTTCGGGCTGTTATTAAGCTAGCCTCTGGATATGACGGCCTTGGTTAGATATTGGAAAATATTGCCTTTGGTTAAGTTCTGTCTGTAAGAACCCAACTTCTTAACTGTCATTCAGTGCCTTTCTGCAGTCTGCTTTAATAGTGTCCACATGAAATCGTGCCTCTGGGAGACGCTGCCTTTGAAAGGGCTGCAGGCAGTGCGTAATGTAATCTTCATTCATTTGATATAATGCAAAAACACTTTAGAGAAATACTTTAGAGGGTCACTTTAAACAGCCAGATCAGATATGCAACTATAAAATGCTGTATATCTCCAATTGCTCGGGTTTCTCTTAGGAAGCTGGTAAACTGCAGGAACTTATAAAGCCTTTAGAGGGAGTCATTCATCATTCTGATGTAGTGATGTAGTGGCTAAATGAGGACATCTATCACTGAGACAAAGATTAAGCGTTGACTTTAAGTAGTATCCAAACATGTGTGCACAAATCTTGTGTCAAGCAAAATGCTTTAAGTTTTATGTATGTACACATTTCTCCTGTTACTGTTAATTTATTTATAGGACTGCAGTTTTGTTGTTTTACATGTCAACCCCATATTTTAAACTCTATATTATTCTTTTTGTATATTTTTTTTATTTCAGGCTGGAGGAGGCTGAATTTGTAGTCCTGTTGTGGATGGGATGGTTGTGCTTTATTTTTACCTGTATGTCAGCTTTTCTCTGGGCATCAGAATCTTAACCCATGCAGGGGTTTGTTGATTCTTTGTTTATTCTATATCATTTAGGAAATATACCTATACAATAACATTCTAAATGAACATGCTAGTAATCAAAGTGGCCAGCTTTATTCGGAAATAGAACTATCTGTAATATTAAATTTCAAACTGAAAATCCATAATGTGTCATGAAACACAGGGAGAGAAAAGTCTCAGAGCACTGTGTGTTGTAGTGTTTAGATGGAGCGTCTTTTGCATTCCTCTGAGCTCCATGGAGGAGAGATGGCCTGAAGGAGAGAGAGCTTGCAGGAAACTGAAAACTGTGCTCTGTTACAAAGCCGCTTAAATCTCACAAAATGAAAATAACTTTTTTAAATGCAAAAAGGAAATACATTTCAATTAAAATTCAGCTTCTTTACAGAAAATGTAAGATTTGGAGACAAGTCTGTTAGTGCCCCCCTCTTTTACTATCCTATTTTCAGTAATAATAAAGCTGGAAAAGTGAAAAAGCAACAACAGCACTGAAAGCAGAGCTCCAATTACAGTTTGTAAAGACAGAGTCTAATAAGAATATTTTCAGCTTATGTAATTCACCAAAATATCCCTGCGAATGTGCTCTCAAGCACTGATAGCTGATAGTGAAATCTTTCAAAGGAATAATCGACTTCACTGTTGAGCTTTACTGTTTTCAGGCATTACTAAAGATACTGTGCAGCCTAAAGTGTTCTCAAAGTGAATGAGGATTTCTCCACCCAGCATCACGTTCAAAATGGTTAGTTTCTGTCTGACATGCTGCTTCCTGTTTATCATCACCCTGTGTAGCACTAACAACCTCATTCCAGCGGTCCAGGAAGCAAAAGCCACACAAAGCTTCTCCAGGATACCTCAGACATAATCTATAACAGAAACACATGGGAAAGACATGATTTTTTCTCAAATGATTCTCTACAACTGAAGATACAAGATCTTTGATAGAGGTTACTTTCAGCTACTGGTGCTCTAAAGCATCCAATATACATCCTCCTTGCAGAGAAGTGACGGTGGTGTGACTTCTGTTATAGTTCTGGTCTTCCTGTGTAAGCACACCTCAGTCAATCTGCTGCCACATTGACTACCATGGTCAACCTACACACTTAATTTGCCTGATAACACCTCAGGACTGTGTTAAGACTCAGATATGCTCAACATATACAGATACAGATGGAGCCTTTTGTCAGTATTCTTTGTTCATATTTGTCAGTTTTGTGCACATTTTATGAAAACGAATAGAAAGAGTAGTACTGCTGGAAATCAGGGGGGCAGTGTACAACATGTTTTGTTCAAACAAAACATGACCATAGGCAAGATAGGGGTATCACAATATACCGGTATTGACAGTAACCCTGATAATTAAAAAATGAAATATTGATATTGTGTTAATAATATACAGTACTAGTCAAAAGTTTGGACACATCTTCCCATTCACTTGAAATTAGAAAGTGCATCCAAGCTTTTGACTGTTACTGCTCCAGACACCAGGCTAAAAAAGAAGATTAAGCTTTGACCTGATAATCAATAAAATATACATATTTTGGATAGATTCCATAACTATGGTGCTGAATTTAGAGGTCTTTCTTGTTTGTTTGTTTATTTATTGTGCTGACAAAGTTCACGCCTTTGCCCTGTTCTCCATAGCAACGGTGGCCGCTGAGGCTTATGGGTATTGTAGTATTTACAGTGATCATCCGCCCCTCCACCTGACCATTTTTTTTAGGGTTAGGGTTTCATCTTTATTTCTTCTTTTTTTTTTGTAAACTGCGTTGAGCGAAACTTTAGGGAGGATCCTTACAGTTCTACCAGCTTACTGTGCTACATCAGTCGAGAAACTGATTTTTTGCATGAAAAGCCGTACGTGTAGGTGATTACAGGTAAGGACCAGGGGCAGCTCCTCCTCGCCTCCTCAGATGGGTTCCTCTTAATAACTTGTTCCCTGGCACAGAACAGAGGCCCCTCCTGTCAAACCCTCCCTATCAGTGGTACTGTTATTCATGAGGATAGCGTCTCAATGTGATGTAGAGTCAAATCTGTCCCTGAACTTGTTGCATGTTTAGGTGCACGTCGTGAGCCCTGGACTCAGACAGTAGCTGCGAGTATGTGGGCTGCATATATCTGGGGCGTTTCATCTGAGGTCAAATGGCGTCGGTTAATTTGATATTAAGTTGCTGAGTGTTTGGGGTCTAAGAAGTAATGTCTCGTCCGTGGCGATCAGTCTTTCTCCAACGGAGCAACACCCATCTTGTGAGTAGCTGCTGTTTCTGAAAGTTTCCTAGCTTCACAAAAGAGGAGGAAATATTTAGTTATCTTCCACAGAGACGTGACTTAACGTTAACACAGGACAAAGTGATATGTTAGTTTAGCCAAACGTTAAAGAAATATCCCAAAAGGTGTGTAGGAATCAAAAGTTTAAAACCTCTTACATTAGAGTGTTGTGTTACAGTAATTTTTTATTGAGTATTGCAATTTTATTGAAACCCCACCCAGGGCAGCTCCTCAGGCTGGTACTGCATTGCTCTGCCTGCTCTGTATTTATTTATTTTTTTTTATTATTCTGTAATGTTGTAAAAAATATATAATAGTGATTTACTAATTGGAGGAAAGATAACCTTGAAAGCAGAGGAAAAATAGGATGTTAGATGCATGTCCTTGCTTGACAAACAGTCTGGGGTGTACTCTGTAGAGCCCATTTATTTATTTATTTAAACAACAGGATATGAGTAATTGAATGACTTTGTGTTTGTACTGGTAGCTTGTGTTATTTTTGTTTTGTCAGCACTTACTTAAACATACAGGTTTGAAAGCAAATTCATTATTTTTTATAATGAATTGAATTACATTTTCTTTAGAAATCTAAACTAACGAATAATGTGGACGGAGTGTGAGGGCTGTTGTGGAAAACTCTTCCCATAATACCCCATTGAAAGGCTTCCTGAACAGTGAGGAGTATCCATCACCTCACTGGATCTAGTTCAAATGTGGTTGATTAGTGCAATCTGAGCTTTCAATCTCGTTATATTGTATGAACTACCTTGCACATTTCCTCTCATTGTATTCCGGGGAGCGCAAACAAAAGGAGGCTTTGAATTAAAATAAAGCTCTGGTGCACAGCTGAGGAAAGTGCACCATGGTTTGTTTTCACTTAAACAGGAGAGGGTTTACATGAATCATCTAAATATAATGCTGAACATTATAGTAATTATTGTTGTTGATGTATTTTAAGGAATGCTTGCTTTATTGCTGGGTTGTTGTATCAGTATATAAATGAACAAATAACTAAACTGATCATCATTAATACTAATATCAAAATTGGCAAAGTAACTTTTATTCACCAGCATCTAGTTCATATGTCAATAGGCAGCAAAAACAAGTTTAATCTAAGGCATTGTTAGGTTTCTGTCTGTAAAGTCAGATGATTAATGTTGTTCTGGAGAGGCAGTCAGGGCAAATGTATTTCCATTTTAAGATTATAAAGTATTGACTTTGTCACTGACAGCTGTGATCATGAGCTCAGTGAGATAAGAAACAGTAACTTCATCCAGCTTTGACAATAACTGTTTCTGTAACAACTGGGTTCATTAATTTGTGTATTTCTTTCTTCACTTATTCATCTCCTGACAATTATGATAATAAGAAATGGTGGGTAAGTGAGCTGCAATAATTTACCATGTGATAGGATAGTGGACACGATACACTCGGGCCTGTTTCTGGTGATGGAATAGCTAAAGGGGCATTTTGCATTAAAATGCTGTTCACAGTACTTGGAATTCCAAGGAGAAAATAATAAACTTTGGTTTGAGGACATCACTTTGCTGACGGAGAGAAACTGTGGGAACTTAGTTCACCATCATATCAGATAGGAAGAAAGTTTCCACTCCCATATAGTCACACCAGAGGAATGTCTGACCAAAATGAGTAGATAACAGCAAACATTACTCACTCTTTGCATTTAATGTAATTTGCAATGTGAAAAGTGGCAATGGAACCCAGTTTCTTCTTTTGTCTTCCTCGGTGCTTACATATATACTACACTTATGTGAGTTGATCATCTGTTGCCATTCAAAAGTTACATGAGGGGATAACAGAATACAGTTTATTTATGCTCTGTGTGCCCTCCCAGATCTGTGTTGGTTTCTGTCACTGGTTCACTTTATTTATTTGCAGAATTGTGAGCCAATGTCTGAGTAAACCCGTTGAATACTTCATAGTAATTTAGACATCTGACATGCAACAGATCAAACTCAATAAGTAACAGATAACTGACCGGTACCTGGACTACTATTCAAAATGTAACAATTCAGAAAGGCTGCCATTGTGTGTCTAAACCCATTCTGACAACTTGACAATTTGTCAAGCAAAAAATTGTAAAGATTTCCTGCTGGTCTTTGTCTTACGTGACAGTAAATTGAGTATCCTCAGGTGTATCCTCTCGCTTATAATGCACTATGTCTACTGTAAATCACGTCTTTGTGCAGCGACGGCATAACTCTCTTGCTGACAGTACTGATAGTAGACATAATTTGCAGATCCATGGCATATTATTTCCCACCTGTGTATAGGCAAACTGGGAACAGGCTAATGACCACTGCCTTTGTACAGTAAGCAAATAGCCAAAGAAAATACAGACTACTTTCCAAAAGTGTTTTTGGTTTTTGGACCCCACTGTATGTTTGTCATCACATTCTCTGTACATAATTCTACTGTACTATATGTGTACCAGAAAAAAGTGTTCTACTGTAGCACAGTCCTAATTCTGATTTAATGGGAGTGAGCCACTTGAGTATAAGCCTTATCCTGATAATGAGTTACTAAGCCTCTTTGGAACATGGCTCATATGATTGGCCTGACTGTGCTGGATCAAAGCACTGTAATCTCCAGCATGGAGATGCTCAAAGGTTGAGGATTTCAGATCAGATTATTTGTACTGTCATTAGTACAGTGCTAAACCCACAGAACGGCTCATCTGTTTGCTGATGAAGTATTGTTTATGATTTTTTTTTTTTAATTGTGCACCCCAATTATTATATGTCTTTATTTAAACTCGAAAACTCATTTTCAATGATGTCAAGCAGATACAAAATAATAAATGCACGAGTCAAAAAAAGAACATCGATTAAAACAAACATATAGATACAATTACAGTATAATGTAAAAACAATTCATCAATTAAAACAGGTACAAACATGAGTTGAAAGGTTAAAGATTATGAATTCAAAATAACCAAGAGGTACCAACAAATTAAATTTGAAAGTGCTTTGTAGTGAGTTTCAGGTGGATGGTGCAAAGAAGCCAATTATATGCGGCATCAAGCACGTCTACACAATCAGTACTCTTGCTGCTTTCTTTGATAAGACAATCGGTCCAATTCCGCTTTTGGTTTTGAAAAGTTTTTAGAAATACTCCCTTACTGGGACACAGTTCAGACAAGCTCTGCCATGCAGTGTTCCTAATGTCAACACCTCACAGTTCTCGCTTCCACGATCAGAAAAACACATAGACTATGTGTTAGACTACGGAAAACGTACAGTACAAATATTGCATGCTAACATCAGGAAGTTAATAGTATTTGGACATCTCTGAAAACAAACTGTCAGTTTGTCATGGAAAACAGCACATGATTAATGAATTCACTTTCAGCTGACAAGTGAAGCAGAGATATCTGTCAGTTCGTGCATGCTGGGGGTCTGTAGAGAGCATGGCTGGTCTTTAACTTAAAATGTGAAAGCAATGATAGATGTATCTGATGTGTGTGTGTTTGGGTGTGTGTGTCCTCAGGGTGACTTCACCTGGAACAGCGTGTCAGGACGCAGCGTTGGCCTGAAGCCCGTCCCCTTGCAAAGCCTCTCAGAGCTGGAGAGGGTTCGTCTCCAGGATGTGGCCTTCAGGCGACTGCTTCGGGATCATGACCTGGGCTGCCACATCACCATCCCTAAATGTATTAAAGTATACACACAAACACATACACAGTGGGGTCCAAAAGACTCTTTGACCCCACTCTATGTACACCTAAATCCTCTTTTTATCTACCAAGTTGCTATTTTTCTCCCAGGCAAAAGCTTGTCACAGCATGTTTTATAAAACACTTAACAAAAAAACACATTCTGCCTGATTGATTTCATACTCCTGCATTTTTGTCTTGGCTCTTTCTGCACAGTTTGCCTATGTTTGTTAGCTCCTCTGAATTATGTAACAGTTTAGGAAGTGAGCCCGACAAGAGCAGGTGGAACCAGCAAGAAAATGAGCATATGAACTTATTAAGTTTTTATTTAACTGTGACACCTCTGCCTCTTTTCAGGCCACAAGCACAAGAAGTCACTTAGGAAGAAGTTGGACTCATTATCGAAAGAGAAGAGTAAAGATAAAGGTAATGTGGGTCTAAATATACTTTTAATTGGAGCCATCTACAGTATGTTAAATTGGAGGGTAGTATTACTCTAATTTGCCTTTTTCAGTGCCCTATTACAGCATGATATTATAGCAGTAAAGAGGAAATCCCTCTTTACTGCTATAATATCATGCTGTAATAGTGCACACCCTTATAAATTGTCTTTAGATAAGAAAATTCAAACTCAGTCAAATTTCCATACTAGTGAAGATAAACACGGCTCTCTTAGTTCTGTGGAAGAGCCACTGAGTGCTGTCAGACTTTTATTCACCCCTCAGTTTCCAGCGTAGTCAGCCTCTGACACTTGAAAAGATACTCTGTGATCCTTTTGGCCGAAGCTGTATAGACTCACTGAAGCGGACATCCTCAGCTGTTTATACCCACGGAGCACTGAGTGATCAGAATCTCTACAGTGCGGTAAAGAAGTCTCAGAGGGAGCCGTGCTCTTCAGCCACCACACTGCCACGCCCGCTGCAGCAGCCTGGCAGGAAAGTGATGTTCTCTGTCAGACAGGCAGTCGAGGGAAATAACGAAAACAATCTTAAGTGGTGGCTCATTCATTACAGCCTGTCCTCCGGCACGGCCAGCCCCCTCTTTCCTCTTTTTCCGCTTTTGTTTACAAAGGCGTTTCAGAAAGTATGTGCTGCCTGACTCTGAATATAGAGTGTACACTTCAGAACACTGCTCTTGGTATTTCTCTAGTCATATTTATGTTGAACAGCATTTATTTAAAAGTTTAAAATATAAAGAATGAATGAACAGACGATACTACTAGACAATACTAGATCCAAACAGTAAAATATATACAGTATATTCTACACACACACACACACACATATATACATATATAATACAATACAGTATATAATATGCTGACATGGCATCTATAGAGTATAGAGTACCATTTGACTTGGAGCCAACAAGATGAACTTTTTAGTCTGTCTCACCCTTCCCCCTCACACAGAGACTATGCCCCAGGCGTTTGGCATACTGCTGTCGCAGGTCATTTCCAACGACCGCACACACAAGCAGCGGCACGATCCCCCGCGGGAGGAACACAGTGACCCCACTGAACTGATGTTATCCTTCCTTCACCTCACCTCCAGCCTCAAAAGGCCTCACAAAGATCTCTCCAGCAGCACCTCGTCTCTCAGCTCCACGTCTGAGACCCCTAATGAATCGCCTCATCCGAGCACACCGGACACAGCCCCAAGGACTCGCAGGAGGGTAGGCTTGTCTGTCAATAAACCCTGACAGGCTGTTGTAGCGTAACCGAGACTCTGTCTGATTAGACTTGCACGGTAGATTTCTCTGGGAATTCTTAACATTTTTGGATAATCACTCATTGGGTGAATGATGCAGACATTAAATGGCTGCACCCAGTTGTATCACTCACAACAGTCACCGTATGTATGGTTGTCACCCGTCTGTTTGACAGGGTGGAGTGTCTGTGGATTGCATCACTGACCTTGACGATAACCAGTCTCGGCTCTTGGAGGCCCTCCAGCTGTCGTTGCCAGAAGAGGCAGCTGGCAAGAGGAAGAAGCGCCATGACAAAAAGCTCAGCCTTAACCCTATTTACAGACAGGTGCCCAGGGTGGTGGATCTGTGCTGCCAGCACCTGGAAAAATACGGTACTCATCATTAAAGTTCAAAATTAACACTCTAACAATAGTATTAACAGTGCATCATACCGCATATCTTTGTGGAAACTAAGAAGTCAATAACTCACCTTGTAAATCACACAATTTGAATGTCTTTGAGGCTGAATGTTAGCCACAGTATTGGCACTAAGAGAGCATCTTTGTCTTTGCTTAGGCCTACAGACGGTTGGAATTTTCCGTGTTGGGAGTTCCAAGAAGCGAGTGCGCCAGGTAAGATTTCAGCTGGTTAGCTTTAAAACACCCTGCCCTGAATAAATTGTATCAACCATCAGCAACATTTTTGCTGCATTAACTGCCTCAATATTTCATCCAGCTTCGTGAGGAGTTCGACCAGGGATGGGAGGTACACTTGGACGAGGAGCACAGTGTCCATGATGTAGCTGCATTGTTGAAAGAATTCCTCAGAGACATGCCTGATCCACTGCTGACAAGAGAGCTCTACACAGCCTTCATCAACACAATGTGTGAGGAGAAAACACATACTGGATATACACGCACACAAAAACAACTCACTTTACTCGCTTGCTATCTGATTCATTTGAGACTGATGTCAACTGTTTGGATTGTTTGTTTGTTTTTTTTTTCTCTACAGTGCTGGATCATTCAGAGCAAGAGAGCGCCATCCAGCTCCTGATATTTTTGCTTCCTCCCTGTAACAGCGACACACTGCAGCGTCTCCTCTGCTTGTTGTCCACTGTGGCTGCACACGCTGAAGACAGCCTGGATAATGAGGGACAGGAGGTAAAGAAACTGGACATGCCCTGCTCTTATGGCAGTGGAAAGACCAGTGCAAGCAGCAATCTGCTTTTTTTGTGGTCTGAGTTACAGACTCATTTTAGGTTCATTCTAGGATGCACAAGACGAGGTGTCGATATTTTGGTCCTAATTGGGTCTTTGATCTTATAATGGGATGAAACATCTGACGACCGTAGGCAGCCCGGCAGATATTCTGACGCTTGTTGATTCTACTAACAAGCTCAAACAATACATTTAGGAAATGGGCCGCTATCACAGAATAATACTGAAATTTTAGAAGTTTAATGTGATTTTGATGAATTCCTACGGCAAACAAATGGCAGTAAGACAGATGTTTGCTACATCTGCAGCTTCTAATTTGAAATCCTGTGCCCAGCGCAGCACCATTACACACGATGATCCATTGTGGGCATCTTGAATAAACGATGCACAACCAACCATCAACCGGCTTCACGATAAACAAGCAAACATTGTGCTTCTGCGAACATCATACTGTTGAGTCATAATTTGTTATTCCCCCCAGTTTATAAACAGGAAGTGTAAGGAAATTGTCACATTGTGGAGATGCATACTGTGAACACAGTTTATCTCACCAGCAACATATTTGCATCTTTTCACTTTGCAGCCAGCGCATAATTATGTTTTTCTATTCCATAAATCCTGTCTGGACTTTCCTCTTTATTTGGTGAACCATTTTTGTCATGCACCACTTAGTTTGGAATAGCTGGTTTTAAGATTTGAGATAAACAATGTAAGAATATAATGATTAATCACCATAATCCCACAATTCTATATTCCATTTACTAATATTTCTACACATAGCAAGATGCATTTTAGCACATGCATTTAAATTTGAATGCACAGTCCTTATGCACATGACATTGCACTTTGCACTCACCATCACAATTCTGCTGTTAAACTTGAGCCTAAAGTTCCTCTATGTTAATCTTACTTTTTGACTACTAAACGTCACAGTAAGGATTAATAGTTTCCCACACATTTAAAACCACTTTATTCTTTCAGCACACATACTGTAATTTTGAAGGAAAGGTCTTTTTGGTCTCTTTGAACAAAAGAAGGCAGCACCAGCCTCATTGATGGTGGCAAGCCTGTGTTAGCTGCACATTCCCAACATGTCCAGGGTGCCATTGAGAGTCTGCCGCCACCAAAAGACGACTTTAAATACGACAATTACTTTGAGCGTTTAAGAGTTTTCATTCCTGTGTGCAAGCACATAGGCAGATGAAAAGAAAATCTATTATAATTTGGCTTCAGCGTTACTTTTCATGTAAATCATTTCTGTCTCAAAACCATTTCTTGTAATAGTGGGGATCAAATTTGGGTAATTTTGGTTAGTTTGGTTGTCATCTTACTAACAAAGTTGCTGAATAAGATTAGTTTTGTTTTCACCTGGAGACTATTGGTTAAAAAATAAAGAAATTTTAGTAAGAAAATCTCACTTTTTTGTACGAGCTTGCTCAGAGGCTTACAGTACATGACTGTAACTGAAGAACTGTCATCCAGCATATCAAAATATGCAGTCCAAGTGTCTCTGTAGGCACATGTGTATGTTCAGAGTGTCCACACAAATAACTTGTGTCTTCTTTTTTGCTTAGATAACAGGAAACAAGATGACGTCACTCAATTTAGCCACCATCTTTGGACCCAATCTGTTACACAAGCAAAAAAAAGACAAGGAGTTTGCAGTGCAGAGTTTTGCCCGTGCAGAGGAGAGTACAGCCATCATCAGCGTGGTCCAAAGGATGATCAATACATATGATACACAATTCATGGTAAGCCGTGATTACTGAAAACCACAAAGGCATGTAAACAGTTAAAGACAGCCCTGGGTTTAATCAAACAATCTCAAGGTCTTGGTCAAGTCTCTTTTTGGCAAAAAAACCCCAGTTTTTATAAGGATTTTTTTTAGCTTAATGGAGTGGAGCTTCCTAATGAAATGTAAACATTAGCTTTATAGGTTTTGAGAAGGACTGAGCATCTGCAATCACTTATAAGACAAAGCAGTATCGCAGAAAAACAATTTGAAAAAGCAATTTGTTTCCCACTCCTGTGAAATTAAGATTTTTAGTGAATACTCTTTTTATTGCATGGCAAGCCTCACTAGAGAGGTTAACAAGTGTCGTTCCAGCCTCTGTTTTGTTTATAGACAATGATTAGGAGCAAGGACGTCTACATTATCTTTTCTCTTAAGGAAACCAGAAGGCAATAAAAGCCCATCAGACATTTTCTATGCGTCATTAATTCAGTTTTTTTAAACTGCTGTTCATTATTTTCTCCTCATACCATACAAACATCATGCTATCTCTGTTACAGTACATATTGCATTATACATAATACTGTAAATACTGTAATTCACCAAATGTGGTAAACATTTTTGTTTTTTTTAAATAAGCTGCTCTGTTATTTGTTTGTGGCACAGGGACAATAATTCATTAGTATGGAGAAGTAATTAATTGATTAAGCTAGCAAAGAATACAATTTTACAGCTGTCATCCTTTTATTATGAGCTTCAGTGAAATGGTTCTGCTTCTCTCAGGTTCCCGCTGACCTGCAGAATGAGGTGCTAATGAGCTTGCTGGAAACTGATCCTGATGTTGTGGATTACTTACTCCGGAGGAAGGCCTCTCAGTACTCGTGAGTTTCCACCTTTTGTCTCATTGTGTGTGTGTGTGTGTGTGTGCATGCTGTCCTCCTGTAAGCATCTAAATGAAGCATGTGCATTATAACTCCTGATTACCCCCCTTCCCCTGGTAATATATATATATATATATATATATATATATATATTACCATATATATATTTATATCATTTTTTTTGTAAGATAGTGTGCTTTTCTCTGAACATTAGTAGCCATCTGCCTGCAGCTTATATCAGCAAGAGGTTAATGTAATATTTATTGTGTTGTGTGTGTTTGTGCAGAGATCCAGGGCTTCTTAGAGGAGAAGAGTCCTTCTCTCTGACTGAGCGATGCTTGTCCAGTGACTCCATCAAAGCATCTAGTGGAGAGGTGTCTCCCTATGATAACAATTCACCTGTCCTGTCAGATGGACTGCTGTGGAAATACCCCGAGGACACCAGTCCACTCTCAGACAGAGTCTTCAAACTTTCTGGGCAGTACAAAGACAGTGGCCATTCAAAAGACGGATCCGGCAGCACCTCTCCCACACTTTCTACCAGCAAAGGTGAACAGAATTTATTGCAGCATGTAGTATCATAAAGTATGATAGAAATAATTTTTTTTTTTTTTTCATTCATTTTTAAAATGTTGAAATGAATCTGTGTTCATAATGGTCTAAACAACAAAATAAAAAAAAACATTTGATCTGTTAAACTAAAGTAATCCTCTTGACTCTTTTGTTTCTGTTAGCGGCCTCAACAATCTGTGACAATGACCATTTCTGGGACACCTGGCAAGAACTGTTAAACAAAGATTTCACCGGCCATCACATCACTGGTAACAGAATCCTCTTTACGTGTTGTTGCAGATGGTCTTTGAGATGTGTGATGAATGCTGGATGTTAATGAGTGGTTTCTCCCAGGTTCCCTTGGAGACATGTCGGAATGCGAGTCGTATGGATCATCAGAGGGGCTGAGCAGTCACCAAGGTAACCACAAGTTGCCCATCAGACCAACACGAAGCTCATTGGGTGTGCAGGAATGCAGGCCACACCTCCCGGTGACTCGGAGCAGCAGTAGTCCTCAAGACCAGAAAGGACAGAGACAATCAGGATCATCGTTACATCAAGGATTGAGCAGCCAATCAGGAGCCATTAGCTCAGACAACTTGACAGCAAGGACAGCACATTCTGCATATCCCTTATTTAAGGTCAGGACGGATGGTTTGTCTCCCCTTCACTACTCTGGGCCTCTGAGAGAGACCCATATTTCTCAGTCCACACCCTCCCTCTTCATGTATCAGTCTGACCCCCAAACTCCACAACAGTCCCAGCAGAGCTGTTCTCCCCAGACTGTAGATACAGCTGACGCCTCTGGACTTGCACACGAAAAGGGCCCTGGTACACCAGACTGGCAGACAGAGAGGTGGCATATATGGCAGATATTGTCAAAAGAAAATGCAGACGCCCTGCCAGAAACCTTGGTGTGATGCACCCTCTGACTCTGATGAACTAAAGTGAAGATTACGTTTCGAGATATTGGGGGGGGGGGTCCCCTGTCACATCATTAGAGGCTGAAACGCTCCTATTTATCTATAATTGCGGTTAATGTTTCTCTTTCACTGACTGACTGTCAGACTTTGCACCAGCTTTGTCTTAGATGTGTTGTTATTTTGTTATTTTGCAGGAGTGTCTAACTGTACATATTCATTTTGTTGCATATGTAAACATGATATAAAATTATTGCTTTATGTATTTTTGTATGTTTTTTGTAGTTTATTTGAATGTGTTGTAGTCATGAAATACATAGCGATTGTTTGCAACACAACTATCAAAAACTTGTATTAGACTTGAATGTCATCAATGCTTAATTGGAAGCCATGAATGTTTTCTAATGCTGAATGTAAAAATAAAATCCTGTTTGTGTTGTACTGTTGCTTTAAATTTGTAGTTCCTCTATATAGTGAAGTTACGTTAATATTGAGTTTTCAGGGTGTCTGTCTGCCCTGTCCTTGTGAACATGATATCTCTGTAACGCCTTGAGAGAATGTCGACTTAGACTCAGGGATGAATTGATTAGTCAAAATCACTGAACTCACAAAACATTTTTGGGCCTAACTCAAGAATTCATACACTAATTTTAAAATACACTTAATAGCTAGCTTTTATTCAAATTCTTAAACGTCTTCACTTCATATATTATATGAGTCTGAACAGATATGGATGTAAACTGCCTTTTGAAATTTATTCAAGTAAATATCTTTATATATCTAATTGACTGTAATTAATAAAACTTGATTTTATTTATTAATTTAAGTCAATTTAAATGATTCAATAATTAAATTTAGTGTAATTCACAATTCAATTTTTTTTTTTTTTGGAGGGGGGGGGTTCTGCCCGATCGTGCTGAATCTGACGACGCTATAGCATGGCAAAAATATGTATACAGGGGCGTCGTGTAGCGTAGTGGTTTAAGCAGGCGCCCCATGTGTAGAGGCTACAGTCCTCGCTGCAGTCGGCCCCGGTTCGAATCCCGCATCGGACGGCCTTTCACTGCATTCCCCCTCTCTCTGCCTCCCCGTTTCCTGTCACTCTCCACTGTGCTGTCCATTAAAGGCATAAAAGCCCAAAAAAAAAATATACTAAAAATATGTATACAGACCTATCTGAACTGCTGCAAAGAAATAGAAGTAAAGTGTATATGTTAAGTTAATTCTATAATACAAAGAAAAATGAAACCCATGAGCATTAATGGGATCTCTGTGTGTCTCCATTCTCTCCCAGTAGGTAACTAAGGAAGATGGATATTATACTATGCTTTTATTTCCATTTCCTACTGTTACAGCAGCATGCCTTCCCTGTGTTTTTTGTCCTTTCCCTGTCCTGTCTCCCCTATAGCTCCGCCCAGTCCCACACTGATTACTTCATGAGATGCACCTGTCCTGGGAAGGAAGACTTTTCACTGTCACTCCACAGATCATTGGATTTTAGTGTGGTGGGGTTGGCCTCCCAGGTCATCAGGTCAGTGTGTGTTTTGCTGGTTGTCTACATTTACCACAGCAGCTTGCGGATGTGGTTGAAGACCACCTGGTGTCCATTTTGTCTTGTGGTAGTGGCAGTCCACTTTTGTTGGGTCTTTGTGTTGCTGTTGGGGTATGGCAGCAACTTTTGCAGTGGGTCTACATGGTGTGACCCTTTTTGGTTTGTGGCTGTTGCACTCCACTTTTGTGTTGGTCAGCTGTACTGGTTGTTGTGGGTAAATGCAGTTATGTTTGTTATGTGATATTTGTTCACCTCATGGTGGTAGCCATTTTGCATCTAGTGGGAGTTGCACCCACTTCCAGCTGCTTGTGTTGGTTGCTCAGACAGCAAAACCAGCAGTCCTCAATGCCAAAAGCCTCTGCCCTTCTGCTGCTGGGAACAAAGGTTTTTTTTTTTTTTTTTTTTTTTTTTTTTATAAAGCCTTCCTTGGTGCATCTCATGAAGTAATTAGGGTGGGCCTGGGCGGAGCTACAGGGGAGACAGGACAGGGAAAGGACAAAAAACACAGTGAAGGCATGCTACCATAACACCTTCATAGGCTATCAATTTATATCTTTGGGGGCAATTGAACTCCTCTCCCTGGGGAGATTACTCAGGAATGGGCATGGATTTAAAATTAAATGGTCCCTAAATTTTGGTGGGCAGTACCAAAGTACCCCCCCACCCCCACCCCCCCACCCCCGTTCAGAACACAGTGAAACAGTCCCCTGTATTGGCCACAAGGGGGCAGAATAAGACCAGGAAAGTGTTTTTTCCTTGATCATTGGTTTCCTTGCTTCTTCAAACTATAACCAATGAGCATTATGCTCATGACTCATTGCACATTGAACAGCTGTTTCATTCTCAGGCGCATGATAGTTGGTACTGATATGAATTATGACTGTTTTGATCTGTTTTTACAGTATTGATTATTTTGAAGAGTATATTTTGTTCTATCAACCTTAATCTTGCTTTATGCAAATAAAAAAAGGAAAGGTGAGCTTAGACAAAATAGAGTATAATTTAATAATAAATAAGCGTCTAAATTACCAGAACTGCAAGAAGTACTCACAATAAGTATGCAATGATGCAGAAAATGTCTGCTATTGAAATCTGGTACAGAGATATTTTGTTCACTGGAATTGTGTAATTTGATAGACTGCATTATATTTTTGAGTTTTCAAGTATAATAGCTTTTATCAAATGAAAGGACTCACAAGCGAGGAATTACACTCAAGCTTCAATACAGTAGGAGACCTTAGAGTAAGCACTAAGTACTAAATCTCTTCAATAAGAGAAAGCACAAGGAGACTAGGTAAAGAAGTCATCAGTAACTGTAATGTACTCATGTTAGGTTAGGGCGTTAGAGGTGTTAGGAGAGGAGGTGCTCTAGGAAGAGCTGAGTCCTCAAGAGATTCTTGAAGGCAGAGAGAGACGGTCTTGCTCCGATAGCAAAGTCATAAGTAATCTGACTATGTTTTGACAGTAAACCTTCTCGCCCTGATATTAAACTCTTCCCTTGTTAAACAAAGCCAGGGGATTTCCTCAACACTGCAATTTGTGGTTCAACTTTCTGGGCCATATCTGGCTCCACAGCTGTGTGAGCCAAGCTGTATCTGGCCACCACTCAGTCCCATTCTGACAAGACCAAAGAGACAGAACAGGATGTCTGGATGTGTTTTACAGAGAATCCAGACTCACTGCTGTTTGCCTTCACTTTTGTATCTGCACCACAAATGGACCGGTTTGCCTTCACAATATCTCATCCAATGTCCTAAATATTAACAGGCAAAGACTGGGGTGGGGTGGGGTGGGGTGGGGGTGGAGATGCTTTTGTGACCAGCCTCCTGAAAGCAAAGAATCAAGATCAAATATTCAATTTCATATCTTATCTGTGCAGCACTGATGGATGTAAAATGATCCTTTGGCAGAGAGCTGCAACTGTTCCCAACAGGGGGTCCATCCTGTCTGAGTCCACTCACTGGCATTGGGAGCAGCTGCAGGGAGGACAGAGGAAGGTCACAGCTAAGATGAGGCTGAATGTCGAGAAGCAAGAGAGCCTTGGCCCTGGGGTTTCAAGGTCGAGATTGATGTACAAATCTCTGCTGAGCAAAAATAGAGCGCAGTGGAGCTCATTAAGGTGTTAGGTATATAGCACATAACACTTTTAAAGCAAATGCTAAAAAAAGCCTCTTTTAGTATTTGCCATTTTAGATATCAACTCAGGACTACTTCACATGCTACTGTACAAAGACTGATTTTCAATAACTTGCTCACTGACCTTAAGGATTTACTCCCTGACTTTGCTACAGCATCCAAGAGTGGACCTAAATCCCAAATATTCCTCCCAGCTTTTTGTTGTTTTGAAATTTAACCTTGTAAGAAAAAAAAAAATCAGGGATTTTACCTTTTTTTTTTTTTTTAAGGCAAATAAAGTTCTTGCCATCAGTCACTGTTTATGTGCTGCATTTGCATTTTGAAAAGTTGAGACAAGAAGCTATTTGGTGCTGATTTATGATTCCACTCTCCTCCATTGTATCTGAAATGTATTTCTGCAGCCTTTGTTGGGGGCAAACACTATACAGCAATAACAATATATGACAATAATGAATGAACACAATGTCCATCATTTCACTAATGGAAAAATGTGAAATACAATAGTCAGCAGACTATCAATGAGTGCTAGAGTGACACAGGACCCAAATGTCAATAAGAGTGGCTTATGGGAGTCATGGTCATGACTGGGTAATGAAGTTTATTTCAAGAAAAAAAAAAAATGTTCAAGATTAAAGGATTAGCAGTGATTGCATTAAGCCTCTCAGCTTAGTGCAGTTCAACACTTCATGAACAAAATGTGAAGTTTTAGATACCAAGTGTTTCACTGATAAGACAAGTTTAAGCAATTTGGTGCAATTTTCGATTCGCTTTGGATTCTGAGCAACACTTCACTCTTCTTTGTAGGGGAGGGGGGTATTTGAAGTAATGTTTTCTAGTTAGATGTCTTTAGTTTTTAATTTAATTTAATTTCAGCGCCTTCCAAATCAATTTATTTATATCTGTTTATATCTGAGAAACATTTTCTTCTCTCTCCTGTTTTTCTGCGATCTCAGTGGAGCAACACCAGCACTGTGTTTATGCAGCCCACAAAAATCTCATTTCATTCACCTCATCTGCTCCGCCTCATGCTCCAGTTGGGATACATTTGATTAATATTTCTCATTTTGAAACAAGGACCACATTTCAACCAGAAAAACGGTGGAAGACTTGTTAGATTTGTTCATTTTGATGTGTTTAAATGATCAGTGTGTGTGCATGTAGCACAGGCTATGAAATACAGCATGTTAGTAGGGTGTGCATGTCCCCAAGGACCCCATGGCTTTTAGTGCACATATTGCCAGCAATGTTTTTTCCTCTACTCTGCTTGAGTCCACATGATACAACGCAGCTACTCAGCTGGGATGCAGGCTGTGTATTGGGCGGGACAGGGGATCAAGTTGGGTCAACCTCAATATGTCAGCTCTTTGGCAGACTGGGCGGTGAATGATTCACTGTTAAAGTCGTGTTAACAGCATACTCCGGGACAACCAGCAAAAGGCGGTTTGCAACAGGCAGTTTTGCTCAGTCTTCAAACTTGCGCAACAAACTGTGAAAATTGTGTGGCTGAAACAATGACTCAACAATGCAACATCAGGAATTAAAGCATCCAGATGTTTTCCTGTAAAGCTTGTTCTTATCAGTTGTTTTATGGGACAGTCGTGCACACATACTGATTCTATCATGTTTCATATTATATTACTTATTTCTATTTTATTTTTTTTGTTTTTGCTGACAGTCTGTCGTTTAGCCGCCACTTAGCATATCTGCAAAATATGTATGTGGGCGAGAGAG